AGATCCACTTATTCACCTTTTTTTCCATTCGTAAATGTGGCACTGTAGCATAAGCACTGGACTGCTAACTGAAAGGTCAGCAGTTCAAACCCATCAACTACTCCTCAGGAATCCTATGCTATTGTTAAGTGCCGTGGAGTCGGTTCCGACTCATAGCGACCCTGTACCGGGTTTCCGAGGCTGTAAATCTTTACGGGAGCAGAGAGCCTCATCTTTCTTCCGCAGAACAGCTGGTAGTTTTGAACTGCTAACCTTGCAGTTCACAGCCTGATTTGTAACCACTATGCTACCAGAACCCTATACAGGGTTGCAATTAGTCAAAACTAACTCAATGGCACTTAACAACAAAAATGTAACCAAATATTTCAGATCCTTCGTACTCCTCACTTAAACTACTGCAATAGCTATTTAACAAATTGCCACTAGTTTCTGCCCCAGCTAATCTATATCAAAACCTTTCCCAGATTAATCTTCTTAACATACTAATATTGTTATCTCACACTATGATCAAATCCATCTGAAGAACCAATTCTAGCAAGGACTTCAAAGGCAGCCAAAATCCAGCCCCATTTACTTAGATAATTTTATCTACTATGTCTTTTTTATACAAAACCCTCCACTGTACCAACAAAAATTTGAATCACAATTCCTGAAATGTGATTTTGGTTATCTCATTGCTTCTTCTACAGCCATAAGAAGAAAAATACATTCAAAGTATATAGTAAATCAATGTCTTTGACGAACCTAAAACTCCTTGTGGTAGAGCCAAAGGAATAATTAACTGATATTATTTTTCTAAATTATACACTACTTTCAATTATAAAGAAACTGAGCTATAACGATTATGGCAATCTTTGGGGATAAAAGCTAAAATAAGGAAGGAGAGTTTGAAACAGCATCCCAAGCAAAAGTATAGCTTACTAGTTAAGAGCACCTGCTTTTGAATAAGGCAAATGTGCTGTCCAATTGTAGCTCTGTGTAATCTTACGCAAGTTTCTTACTTAAGCCTCCATTTTGGATATGACACTCACTATATCTCCCAGCTGTGCTTAGAGAATTTGAAGACAACATAAATTGTACACATAAAGCAACTAGTGGTGTACTAAATAACAACAACCACAAAAATGTATTACCATCATATTATTCCATTCCTAATTCATAGTGACCCTATAAGGTAAGGTAGAACTGTCCTTAAGGGTTTCCAAGGCTGTAATCTTTTTTAATGCAGACTGTCACCTTTTTCCTATGAAACAACTGATGGTTCTAAAGGCCAACATTTCAGTTAGCAGATAAGTGGCAAGAGAACCAAGAGACTGACACCAGACAACAGTGTAGTCAAGCTACAGAGCAAGAGAGCTGGTGTCTTCAGGCAAAAGGCTACTGGCAGAGTGGGATAGCTATGGGCACTTGTCAACAGAGCTAGGTTTGTCAATCCAAGGAACATTCGGGAGAGCTGAGTACCTTCATCTCGGAGCTGAGACTTATTGTAGGAGTGGGTGCACTTATCAGTAGAGCTATAGAACTTTGTAACACTTACTTGCCCAAGTAGAGCAGAAGCTGGGTCAATCCAGAGGCCTAAAGCAGCCTACAGACCAAGAAATTAGAAAGCAGAAGTTGAGAGACAAGGACAGGAAGCAGAGCTGCCTCCGTTTTCAAAAGGTAGGGCCACAACCTCTGGGATCTTAAACAGTGAAATCTCAATCTGCTGAGCTTTAAAAGGTGCGGCCACAGACTTCTAGGTCAAAGAGTCCAGACTGTGTGATACACATTCACAAGTGCCAAGGGAACAGAGTCAGATCTGTTGCCCAAAGGAGAAGTGTAAAGGCTATCATGTCCAAGGGCCAGAAGAGCAGAGCTTGCAGAGGCCAAGGAGCTGTGGTTAACATTCCGTTGACTAGAATGGGGCCACCAAAAGAAAAGGGAGCAGAGTCCCCATCTCAGTGAACCTGGCAGGGGGAACTGAAGTCCAGGCTACAGGGACCTCTACTCATGGCCAACACCCAGAATCTGTAGGGTGGGGACATTGCACAAATGATCTCAGAGAAGAGAGGATTCTTTTCAGCCTTGAGAGCTAGTATGAATTGTATTGCTGTGTTTTTTACTTGTTTGGAACCCATTATCCCTTTTCCACTATTTTTTCCCATTTTTAATTAAAAAAAACCTATCATGAACCTGTTCCACCATCATATACTGGAAGCATACAGCTTGTATTCTATATTCATAGAAGAAGAGAAAAAATTTTCCAAGACAAAATCTGGATTTAGAGTTGATTTTAAATTTCTGGAATTATATGATGTGGCAGGGGCATGAATTTTGGAGGGTCATTGAGCAGAATGTTACAGATTAAATTGTGTCCACCCAAAATATGTAACAACTTGGCTAGACCAAGATTCTCAGTGGTTTGGTAATTAGTAATGTTATAATGATACAATCACCCCATAATCTGTGGGGATTAGTCAATCAGCTGTAAAAGGATTAAAGTGAAATGCAACAACACCCTTACTCAGGTCACAGTCCTGATCCCCAAAAATGTTCATTGTTCTGCTGGGTATTTTACTTCCTTGGTGTTCACGTAAGGGTAGTTTCCCTGGGGTGTGACCTGTACCACCTTTTATCTTATGAGAAATAAAATAAAAGAGAAGCAAAAAAAAAAAAAAAAGGACACACTTCCACCAAGAATGAAAAGCAGAGAATGGGTCCTTTGTTTCTTGATTTCCTACACCTAGAACTTCTAGGCCCAAGACTCAACAGCACCTAACAACAAGATAACTAAGAGAAGTATATACCTGCTTTTTTATGTGAACCCTTGGCCAAGGATTTCCTTAGTAAGTATTTGACATGTCCCATGTAGTTGACTTTTCCATGAGATTTGCATGGCAATCGCTCTGACTGACTTTCACTTCCAAAAAATTCTTCTTCTTAATATATTCAAAATCATGTTGTCTACATAGTTATTTTGGAAGAATATGTGTTAAACAAATACTTTTATTGACTTTCATTTTCAAAATTCTGAGAATCATATTCTAGTAAATTAATAATAGAATTTTAACAGAGACACGACTGGTTTATACTATTTGCAAACAAAAGAAAGGAACCTGCTCAACAGGTGCCTAGCAACAATTACTCTATATGTTAAAACTTCATTTTATATTGAATTTTCTTATAATCCAACTTCAAAATAATAAATCTGTAGTATTCTTTTATGGTTTTCTGTTTACAAACATCATGTCAAAATAGTTCATTTTTTCATACTTATCAAACCGAAACCTATTGCTGTTGAGTCTATTCCAGTTCACAGCAATCCTAGTAGGAAAGAGGAGAACTGTTCTATAGGGTTTCCAAGACTGTAAGCTTATGGAAGTAGACTGGCACATCCTTCTTCTGTGGAGTGGCTTGGGAAATTGAACCTTTCGTTTAACAGCAGAATGCTTTAACCAATGTACCACCAAGGCTCCTTTTTATTATACTAAATAATTAAAAATCACAGCAAAGAATTAAAATTAAAATATAAATGGAATAAATTCATCCCATCCCTTTATACCATATTCTCTTAAGGAAATAAAGCTATAGATAAGAATTATTTAAAAATGAAAAAACACAGATAATTCAACTTTGACATGTAGTTGATTGAAATATTTCCATAGTAAGTAAAGAACTGAATATTTATTTAGTTATTCATATGAGCTACACTTACTTCTAAAAGAGTAATGCTACTATTTGAGGTAGCATTACTACTACTTACTAGAAGTAATTCTAGGTATACTCTGCACCAAGTCATTTTTTCCCCTCAAGTTATCAAGAAAAAATTATTACAGTTATTATTGTCTAGCAGCAGTAGTAGTAATAGCAGTGACAGCAATACTCCAAATTTTAAGTATTTGTTAAAACTATGGGGTTCCAACCTGGTCTCCAAAGTCCTCTGGAAACTTCCACAATACCACAGGGTCTGTAAATAATTAACATGAATCATTAAAGAGAGGCCAAAAAATTATTTAAAGCAACTGTCATGTTAAAATACTCTTTAAATTATCCAAGTTACTATAATTATACTTTCAATTTTTTATTCAAACATTATGTTGAAGAATTGCACATTTTTTTCCTTCAGCAATGAAATATTTTGAACTTTTAAGGGTTTTAATTAATTTGGGAACAGCTATAAACAAAATTCATGTTTTCAATAAAAGTCAAATTGTAGCCTGTTGTTGTTGTTAAGTGCCTTCCAATCAGTTGCAACTTTTAGTGATCTTGTATGAGGTTCCGAGGAGCAGCTGGTGGGTCTGAACTGCCCACCTTTTGGTTCATAGTCCAGTGCTGATCCTACAGTGGCACACCAGGGGTTTAAGTATTTTGAACTTTTAAGGGTTTTAATTAACTTTGAACCAGGAATAAAAATTTTAATGAAAAAAATTTGTATTTTCATTAAAAGTCAAATAGTAGCATAAGATCATTATTTACCATAGCAATTTAATTTTTATTTACTTACCTTAGATTTTAAGCTTCTAAAATCTGAAATTTCAGATTTAATCACACTAATAAAAATGTTGGTCATAATTTTAAAGAATAACTATAAATACGTAACTATCACAGTTTTGATAATTTCTTATTGGGATTTTAAATGTCAATTCAAGATGATGTAGTTTTACCTAGTCCTTGAGAGCTGTGATAGATTTAAGACTGCTTTATATGGAAAATCATTTTTTAAATCTCCTATTTTCAGCTACATAAAGCATTTTTAACAACAGATAAATTTACATAGGACAACAAATACATTAAAAGTATAGTTGATATTTGGAAGGCATTTCAAAGAAAATTTTCTAATATGTTGTATCTAGCAATTCATATGCAGCAAAACCTGAGAGAGTCTGAAACCTGTTAAGAAAAGGAAAATGCAAATATTTTCCATGAAAACAAGCAATCAAAGCCAGAAAATTTAGGAGATTAGAAAAACAAGGCAGACCTATCAAGTTCTGGCTCTCACAGTTTTCACTTTATATACAGATGAATCAGTGTTGTTTTATAAATATTCCCACTGGTTTTTCACTTCACAATTCCTCACAATACTTCTTTTCTACTTAGTACAAAAAATTAAGTTCATACTGTCTATCAGCATTAGTAATTCTGGTCATGTACTTATTTTTTAATTGCTAGAAATAAATTTCTGAATTATGAATGTACATTAAAAAGGGTAGTATAAAATATATTTACAACTGGACAAATGAATAACATCATAATAAACAGAGAAAAGACTGAGATTATCAAGAATTTAATTTTACTTAGATCCAAAATCTATACCTCTGGAAGCCACAGTCAAGAAACCAAATGATGTATTGCACTAGGCAAATCTGCTAGACAACAACTTTTTTAAGTGTTAAATAGCAAAAATGTCACTGGGAAGTAAGGTGAGCGTGAATCAAGCCAAGATATTTTCAAAAGCCTCACATGCATGTGAAAGCTGCACAATAAACAAGGTAGAGCAGAAAAGAATTAATGCATTTGAATTATGCTGTTGATGAAGAATAATTAAAGTACCATGGACTGCTAGAAAAGCAAACAAATCTGTCTTGGAAGAAGTACAAGAATGTCCTTAAGAGTGAGGATGACTAGACTTTCACTTTCATTCTTTGGACATGTTTTCAGGAGGGACCAATCCCTGGAGAAGGACTTCACACTTGATAAAGCGGAGGATCAGGGAAAAAAGAGGCAGTCCCTCTATTGAAATTGATTGGCACAGTGGTTGCAACAATGGGCTAATAAGAACAACAATTTTCAGAATGACACATACTGGGCAATGTTTTTTTGTTGTTTTTTTTTTTTCCTGTTGATGGGACCACTATGATGAACTGAAGACTAATACAATGGCACCTAACAAATAAAATCATACTACTTCTGAAAAAAAAAAACAAAAAAACTTTAAAAGCCTAAGATAAAACTAATACAAGTAGCAGGTACCACCAATATGACAGGTTTGAACTTCAAGGGAAGCAAAAGGACTCAGGGTATCAGAGATCATTTTATATACCCACTCAGTGAAAAATCATAACTGTATTCCATTATTTCCATTACCCCATATTGCTTTTCTCAATATACAGTCCAAGGATACATTATTCCAAAACTCAATAAACATCTAACAACATTTTAGCACAAATTGACTCCTCTTACTGTGTTTTAACTTACGATTCAAAATAATGTTTTTAATATTTTAACTTAAAAAGAAAGTATTCTTTAAAAAATTTACATTTTACTTATTTTCGGGGAGGGAGTGGGGAATGTCCATATAAATCAGTGTAAGTAACACACAACATCCTATACAAAAACACTGCAATACAAATTTAAGACGGCACTGTGCCTTCATGTAAAATAGCTATGTATTTCTGAGATGAGTGTGAAAGGTATTGCAAATTACCTAAAAAATGTTCAGACAATTGTGAAGGTAGTTTTATTAAAATGTCAGCTATTAAAATTTGATCTCATAAAAGTTAAGTGCATGCTATAATCTTCACATGATATTAAACCATAGTTATTATATCTTGATAAATTAATACTCAATGTTCATGTAAACAATTTGTACTTAAAATTATAAATAATGGAGAAAAGCATTTACATATGAGTATTTTAAATATTCCTTTTCAACAATTTTAATTTTATAGTTACCATTTGAGAAAATGTGACAGATTTCTTACACTTATGTCTCAAAACCAGGGCATTTATCTCACTGCACACCCCATACATTTTTTTTTTTAATTAAATGTTTTTATTTTGGATTGAGTGAAAGTTTACAGGGCACATCATCAGCTTCACATTCAACCATTCATATAGCTTGTTTCATTACATTGATTATTATCCCCTCCATATATCATCAGTTAACAGTGTTTCTCTCTATCCTCTTTAGCTTTTTTTTTTGGATGGGGGGGTGCACACCCCATACATTTTGCCTTTATCATTTGCAACATTTACCTAAGCATTTTTACTGCCTCATTTTCCTCATCCTTTCAATGCTGATATTTTTCTGTATCATCTGTTCTTTCACACAGGAAGAGAAATAAATGAGAATAGCAATTATTGCTTTAATCGATTAGTAGAAAACATCATATTTCTTTCCTTTTTAATAAATACATTTTACTTTTCAGTACCCAAAAAGTGTTACCATGAGTATTCATATTATGAAATAATTAGATTTAGACTGCATCTGACACACCTTTGTAGCAACTTTCCACAAGTACTATAGAGGAAGAAACAGAAGAGCTGGGAGGAGGGAAAGAGTGGGTGTTTCTGAAAGTAACAATAATCCAATTCTACAACTTTATGTATGGAGACAGAATTTTCTATTCCTTGCTGATTTATTTTCTACATATTCAAACTGTTGTGGCAATCTAATGCTGATTATATGGATGAAAGGTTGAGAACTCCTAATGGGAATCATGATTACCAGTGATGACTGATATTCAGTGTTGCTCTTCCTTTTTTGTCTAATGCTAATTCATAAGAGACTCCGTAACTTAATTTAAAGAGATTTTTTGCCATAAACAATCTAGAAAACAAATAAATACAAAAGGACTGTTATATAAATTAACTTTGACATAAATATAATTAATCTTTGGTTTAGTAAGACATAATGTTACAGTATAAGACAAATAAACTTTACTAAATTGATAAATTTGGAAAGAGCATTTAAAGTGCTATCTGGGCTTTACCATCACTAAGATTCCAAATTCATGATTAAGATTTTTAAATGTAGTAAAATAAAATAAAAAACCCTAAAGCCATTAAGTCAATTCTGATTCATATGACCCCCAGGTCAGAGAATATCTGTCCTTTTTGGTTTTCCATACTGTAAATCATTTCAGGAAGAGCTTTCTCCTCAGGAAAGGCTGGTGAGTTCAAACTGCTGATCTTTCTGTTAGCCCAACACATAACCCACAGTTATGCTTTATTTTCTTTCCAAGTTGGATCTCTCACATTTTCTAGGTCTGAACTAAAAACAAAATGAAAATACTGATGTGGTTCAACTATACTATAGCATGTAGAAAAAACATTCCAACTTCTAGAAATTAATAACATTCAGGTAATTATGTGGAACCCATAGACGAATTAAATAGACAATTTTTTTTAACTTTTTATTGTGAATGGAATGAAGGATTTTTTACTAGGTCACCCGTTTTACATTCAACAAATCAAAAACTGTTTCGTCTCAATGATTGCAACAATAGTTATCCCACTTCCTCCTTGTGCTTCTAATTTCCATTCCACCCATCTTCCCACCACTTCTAAACTTTGTTGTAGGTAATGTAAATGTCATACATAAATGTTGCCCTTTTGATCTTGAATAACTGGCCATTCCATGGTGAACATACCTTACTAGTATTGTTGTCTCCCCCCTATATACCTGTCTACTACTTGGCTGAAAATTGGGCCATGAGGGTGAATTCTGTTCCAAATCTGAAGGGTGGTCGAGGGTCATAGTTTCAGGTTCCTTCAGTCTCTTTCTTTTACATATAGTCAGTCACTCTTTTATATGTTATTGGTGTTGTTGTTAAATACCGTGGGGTTGGTTCCAACTCATAGTGACCCTAAACAGGATTTCTGAGGCTGTAAATCTTTACAGGAGCAGAACGCCTCATCTTTCTCTTGTGGAACCTCTGGTAGTTTCAAACTGCTGACCTTGAGTTTGGCAGCCCGACTCATAACCATTACGCTACCAGAGCTCACTCTCTCTATAGAAATGATTTTTAGTTTTGTTGCACATTTTCTCCCACTCTATCCAGTGATCCCTTTCCAATGTGATCCCTTTCAAAGCAACTGGGAGTGGTAGCCAGACACATCGAGTTCTTCTAGTCTCAAAGTCATGGTGACCAATGTTCACCTGCTCCATTGGTCCACTGGACTTGTTGATTCTAAGCATCTTCAATTTTCATCACTCTTTTTTCTTCAGCACATGGAGAGACCAAT